AATAGCTGGGACACCATTGCTGCTCGGGATATCATCAGTTGCAAGTGGCAGAATCCTCCATCTCGAAGACAACTTTTCGTAATCGGTATGGACAATATGAGTTCTTGGTTATGTCTTTTGGGTTGACCAATGCACCGGCAGCTTTTATGGCGCTTATGAATAGCGTATTCCATGAGTACTTAGACAAGTTCATCATCATGTTCATTGATGACATCCTCATTTACTCAAAGAGCCACGCCGAGCACAAGGAGCACTTGAGAATCACGTTGTAGAAGTTGAGAGATGACAAGTTGTATGCAAAGTGAATTTTGGCTGAAGGAAGTGTTATTTCTGGGCCATGTGGTTTCGAGGAAGGGAGTGGAGATAAACCCCAAAAAGATAGAGGCAGTGGTGAATTGGGCGCCTCCTAAGAACGTCTCTGAGTTAAGAAGCTTTCTATGCATGGCTGGGTACTACATAAGGTTTGTATAGGATTTCTCAAGCATCGCTAGACCTTTAACCCAGTTACTGCGCAAGGGAGTGACTTATATCTGGAGTAAGGAGTGCCAAGAAGCATTCGAGGGGTTAAAGAGGAAGCTTACTACTGCACCGGTACTGGCATTACCATCAAGCGAGGCAGAGCATGGCATATATAGTGATGCTTCATACAAGGGGGTTGGGATGTGTTCTTATGCAGAACAAGAAGGTAATTACTTATGCTTCAAGGTAATTATGACCACACGAGGTGAACTACGCGACCCATGATCTAGAGTTAGCTTCAATAGTGTTTACCTTAAAGTTATGGAGACACTGTCTCTATGATGAAACTTTTAAGATCTTCACGGATCACACGAGTTTGAAACACCTAAGGGATCAAAAGGAACTAAATATGAGACAGAGAAGATGGGTGAAGTTGTTGGGCGATTATGATTGTACCATTGAATACCATCTCGGGAAAGCCAACGTGGTAGCCGATGCACTTAGTAGAAAGTAAAATAGCCCACTGCAGGAGCTTGTGGTACTCATGGATATGAACACATAGTTACAACTAGAGGATGCTACCATTATGATGGCCAATCTGAGGATTATACCACTATTGCACGATCGAATTGAGGAGAAGCAGAAGGATGATCTAGTTCTGGCCAAGTACATTCAAGAGGTGCAGGATGGAAAGGATATCAAGTTTGAAATGGTGGACGGAATATTACAATTCGAGGGTAGAGTTTCTGTACCTAAGGTGGAGAACTTAAGGCAAGAGATTTTGGATGAAGCTCATTGAGCACCTTATGCCATGCACCTGGGATCAACTAAGATTACCGGACCTTGCATGAACATTTCTGGTGGCCCAATATGAAAAAGGAGGCAGTTGAGTAGTGCATAAGTGTTTGAACTGCCGGATGGTGAGGCAGAGCATCAGGCTTCAGGAGGGAAGTTAAAGCCACTTGAAGTTAGAGAGTGGAAGTGGGAACACAACACTATGGATTTTGTCTATGGATTATCGAGGACAGAGTGGGGAATGATGGAATTTGGGTGATTGTAGACCGCCTCACCAAATCCGGCCACTTCATTCCCATCAAGTTCAAGTTAGGGGGTGGATGCATTGGCGGACTTGTACATCCAAGAGCTGGTACGACTACATGGAGTCCCCCTAACCATTGTGCCAGAATGAGGCCCAAAGCAGACAATATCTTACTCAAGAAAAGGTACCAAATGTTCCCAAGTGGTATCAGATCCTCTTCGCGTCCCTCTTGAACGATGATGGGGCAGGACTCAATGAGGGCGTTGAGTCCCAGGGGGTGTATGTAACACCTTAGGCGAATCTCACATCGACAAAGCATGGGAGAGATCCATGGTTCATAAGTAAGAAACTGACTTTAACTGGCAAGACGCGTTTTGGGGTGAAGAGGTCCGGGATGTGAAGGTCGGTTTCTTACTTATGAACCATGGATCTCTCCCGTGCTTTGTCGATGTGGGATTCGCCTAAGGTGTTACATACACCACCCCCTTGGTACTCAACGCCATCGTTGAGGTTTGCCCTACCATCATTCAAGAGGGACGTGGAGAGGCTCTAATACCACTTGTAACATCCCGAACATTTTTCCGACGAAGATATTGTCCGCTTTGGGCGTCGACCCTCACGGATTTCGACTTGGGGTGCAATTCAAGGTGACTTCCCATAAGGTCACCCATCCTTGTTGTACTCCATACTGAGCAAGTTTAACTTTGGAGTTCTCACAAGAACTCCTCCATTTCACCCCAAGTCAAAAACCGTGAGGGTCGACGCCCAAAGCGGACAATATCTTCATCGGGAAAAGGTCTGGGATGTTACAAGTCGTATCAGAGCCTCTCTACGTCCCCCTTGAACGATGGTGGGGAAAACCTCAACGAGGACGTTGAGTCCCAAGGGGTTGTATGTAACACTTTAGACGAATCTCACATCGACAAAGCACCGGAGAGATCCATGGTTCATAAGTAAGAAACCGACCTTAACTGACAAGATGCGTTTTGGGGTGAAATGGAAGAGTTCTTGTGAGAACTCCGAAGTTAAATGTCCTCATTGTGAATTACAACACAGATGGGTGACCTTATGGGAAGTCACCTTGAATTGATCCCCAAGTCGAAAACCGTGAGGGTCAAGGCCCAAAACGAACAATATCTTCGTCGAGAAAAGGTCTGGGATGTTACAAGTGGTGTCAGAGCCTCTTCGCGTCCCTCTTGAACGATGGTGGGGCAAACTTCAACGAGGGCATTGAGTCCCAAGAGGGGGGGGTGTAATGTAACACCTTAGGCGAATCCCACATCGACAAATCACGGGACTGATCCATGGTTCATAAGTAAAAAAATTGACCTTAAGGAAACCAAAATGATGCTCTGTGAAAGAGCGATCATGAAGAAACTGTCAATCACGCATTCTCCCTCCCCTCGTCCAATCGCGCAGGCACCCTGAAAAAGGAATCACTAGCACTGTGAAAGCCGAGATTCATGCTCCGAGGAGACGATGGCTACTATTTTGCGTTTATGCATGGATGATGCACAAGAATACTGAATTACACGTAAAGCAGAACCGGATCAAGGAGCAATGGAGAACTGCCCCATCCCTTCACCGGTAATCGCCCCCGACCTGCTCCAAATCGTCAAAAAGTCATTCGGAACCACACTCTCTCTCTCTATAAAAATTAAACTGGACTTCTATTGAACGCCCTAACTTTTTTAATTTATCGCCCTAAAATTATCCAATTTGACGCTTTTGCCCACACTTATTCCCAATTCCGGACTACATTTCGCCCTAGAATTTTTTTTTCCGTCGTCGCCGTTCGCCCTAGGGAGTCTTCGCCCATCACCGCTGTTCATCCTGGAGAGTCTTCGCGCATCACCACCGCAGGCCTTCCGCCAGACACTGGCCGCTCGCCCAAGAGATTCCTCTCGGCAACACATCCGATGACCCATTTAACCCAACCGGCTACGTTTTAGGTGACGGTCGCCAATGTTCCCTGTTCTTTTACCCATATTTTTGGGACCGGAGATGTTGGATGGGGGTTACAACGTTGGTTGGGGGATAAGTTTTACTATTTGTTATTTTGGTTTATTACTTCATAATTATTATGTGATTTTATGGGTATGACATCAACGGAATCAGCTTCCGGTGGTTGCTAATGGTGGTGGCGGCTGATAGGGGATAAGTCTCTTTTTTTCTTGAAGGGCGACACGTCCGGTGATGATCTGGTCGGGCATGAAGAACGAAGGAGACCCGACCCACGCCGCCCACCTCACTTTCGCTGCAAGGGTCGCCGATCATTTTTGGATTTGCGGGCGGTGGCGGGTTGCGTTTATGGGAAGGGGGCCAAGACAGGAGAAGGGCGAGGAATTGAGTTAGTCCGGCGGGTATTAGTTTAAATTGAGGATATAAGCGTCTATTAGGGTAGGTCTAGGGCGATGAATTTGAAAATTTAGGGCGTAAAATATCTGAATCGCTATTTGTCGCCCTAAAATTTAAATTATTTCGCCCTAAATCGTACTAAAATGACATTTATATCCCTATACCCAATTTCAATCACTAATCGCTAACTTGGATTGCCATCCAACCCACCAACCGTCCGATCACCGGTGTCGTTCCCCAACCTTCCACCGCTCCCATTCCCCCACTCCGCCAACTTGTTATTGCTGAGGAAGGAGAAAGAAGAAGCATGAGGTAGAATCGTAGAAGGTCTGAGCGCTGGTCTCCCAAAGAGAAGGAAGAAGAATCTGCAGCTTGGTCCGCAGCTATCGTTCCCCAGCCGCCCGCCGACCTGCTGCTGCTGTTTCTTTTTCCAACACATATGCAATTTCCTTCGTTCATTTCTAGCATTTATTCAAGAACAATGAAAGTCTGGACGGGACACCAAAGATCAATCAATTTCCGACTTCTTATCATCCGCCCAGCGTTCATGTCATTGTAGAATCAATCAATGATTGAAATTAAAAATTTCCAGCCATTCCAAGGCAACAAGGCAACGCCCAAGATTTTTTCCCGAAGCTAACTACAGAAGCCAACAATTACCATTCCAATTTTGCAGTAGTTAACTACTTATGATTATCTGAAAATGTAACTAATTTGCAGGGAAAATCGAAAAGAGAATTTAACTGGCGCGACAATGAATAAGTTCAGGAGGCAGCAAATCGCTGGTCTTGAAGAGGCAAATCGATTAATGGCGGCGGCACGGTGGGCGGGGGGCGAAGTAGTGGTGGTCAATTAAGGGTATTTAAGTCATTTTAATAAAAGTTAGGGCGACAAATAAGAAGTTTTAGGGCGACGAATAGCAACCCCTAAAATATTAACTCCCAAATTAAAAAGAAATTATCAGAAATATGTTCATCCTAGCTGGCCTGTCCGTAACTGGCCCAGTAAAAGAACAAATGCATTAGGCCGGTGCAAATAATAATGGGCCTAATCTGGGCCTCAGTCGATCCAATTGGTCTACGAGCGACTATGCCTTATGCGATATAACCAAACTATAAATACCTTACAAAACATTCGGCTTCTTCAGATCAGCCCTAAAACCCTAATCAACTTCTCTCCACTCTAGCGGCGGTAAGCTTCCTTCTCCGATCTCCACCCTCCTTCGTCCCTCTGTCTCTTCATTTCCTACGTATGTTTTAGTAACTCAACGAAGCTCGAAGTGTGTATTCAGATTAAGGCCACCTTTAAGTTTATCTTCTGTTCGATTTGCTGAAACAGGGTAACCGGAGCAGGAACTAAAATGGCGACAGTTCCAGGCCAATTGATCTGGGAGATCGTGAAGAGGAACAACTGTTTCCTCGTGAAGGAGTTCGGCCGTGGCAACGCCGGCGTTAGGTTCAGCAAGGAGACCAACAATCTCTACAACCTCAACTCCTACAAGTACTCTGGTATGCAAACGCCTTCTTTTCGCTGCCGTTCATTTTTTTCGTTTCTTTCAGTGCTGCTTGGTTTGTATGGTGGGATTTATTTACTGATCCGTGTATGTGGTGAAATAGGTTTGGCAAACAAGAAGACCGTTTCCATTCAGCCTGAAGGCAAGGATGTGGCGGTTGTGCTGACAACCACAAAGACCAAGAGGCAGAACAAGCCTGCCAATTTGAAGCACAAGTCGGTCATGAGGAAGGAGTTCAGCTCCATGGCTAAGGCTGTTACCAATCAGGTAACTAGCTCTTCGTTCAAGCATTACGTTTTTTACTCGATTCATTTGTAGATTTGTTTGATTGGGAACTCATCAGCCTGTATCCGTCGAGCTCCTGAAGATCATTAGTTCTTGGGAGGAATTTTTTTTTTTTTGAAGTAATGGGTTTTCAGATTGTATGTGGTTGACTTTTGCTTGGTTCCCACGGCCTGAAATTTCAAAGAGCTTTGCTGCAGTTTCTTTCTTGGGCAGTGATGAGAAGCTAACATGTAAGAAGGGCCCTCTTGTGTAGAGGTTTCTTTCTGTGAAATACACTTGTTACGCTTGGCTTCTGAGTTCTTCAGCTCTTTGATTTCACAATTTTTGTCATTTGACTCTTGTTTGTTCTCAATACTTGAATTTTAAAAAAGTATGGTTGTTTTGGTTGTTATTGGACAGTGATGAGAAGCTAACATGTAAGTGGAACTCTCTTTTGTAGAGGGTTCTTCTGTGAAATACTCTTGTTACGCTTGGCTTCTGAGTTCTTCAGCTCTTTAATTTAACAATGTTTGTGATTTGACTCTTGTTTAGATCTCAATACTTGAATTTAAAAAAAATCCTGGTTGTTTAGGCTGTTCTTGGACAGTGATGAGAATGCTAACATGTAAGTGGAACCCTCTTGTGTAGACTGTTCTTCAGTGAAATACTCTTGTTACGCTTGGCTTCTGAGTTCGTCATTTGGAATTTGAACTTGGTTATCCTTCTTCTGAAGTTGCTGTTTATCCTTTTTACTCTTTTATTGAGATCGTGTACCGAATTTTTTTATTATCATGTATTGTGTCCATAAATTGGCTTTGGTTCTCATTTCAGAATCTTGGATGATGATTTTCAAGTTACTTGTATTAATGTTTATGCCTTGATCTATGTCAATGTAACTTGTAGGATTTAATGTTCTTGTCTTCTTCAAAGAAGAGATGGCAATTGATTTGCTTGTGTTCCCTTGTTGATATCAGGTTGCAGATAACTTCTACCGCCCGGATCTGAAGAAGGCTGCCCTCTCTAGGCTCAGTGCCATCCACAGGAGCCTTAGGGTTGCGAAATCCGGTGTCAAGAAGAGAACCAGGCAGGCTTCTAAGATCTCTGCGAGAAAGTGAATTTGAATGCTCTAGAGTGCTCTTTTCGTTTCAGTACTATCAAGAGTTTCCAGATTAGTCAAATACTAGTTTGCAAAATTTTGGTTTATCAGATATTTGCCTACCTCGTTTGTTGTCTTTGTACTGGATATGGTCGAAGAAAAAACTTGGATTTGTGAGACATGTTATGCCTTTAGATATGCACAAGATTCATGTTTCTAGTTTTTAATTGCTATGAGATTGTTGTTGTTGATTCTCCATGATCGCGGTTTTCCCAGTTCCCCAATTTTGGTGTTGTAAAGGAGGTTACCCGTTTTTCTATTTTCATAGTTCGTGTAAGTCGATGTGTATTTGTCAAAGCACATTGAAAATTGGTCTGTGAACAAACACGCTCTATATAGAGAGAACAGATGGCGGAAAGTTTTGCTGCTACGCGTGTAATTTCATTTGGGGACAAACACTCTGCTATTCAACGTGTGGTTATTGTGATAAGTTGTAATTCGGACCTGGTTTGGTATAGGTCAGTTGTTTTAGCTTGTAGATAGTTTGATTATTTGATTTCACACTTTGCTATTCAATCAAACTATTAACCAACTAGCGTAGGCCTGAGTCAGTTGTTTTAGCTTGTAGATAGTTTGATTATTTGATTTCACACTTTGCTATTCAATCAAACTATTAACCAACTAGCGTAGGCCTGAGGAAGGTGAGGTATGAAATTTGATAATGTAATGGGGTGTATAGCTTATTGTTGTATAGTTTTTTTTTAGGAAACACGTGATAAAAATAGTGAATTTTAGCAGGAAAGAGACATGAATGATGCAAGTATAAAAAATCGGCCTTATGAACCAAAATCAAGGAAAGAGACATGAATTGTGCTTTTTGGTTTTTGCCAGGCCATGATAAAATCTAAGAAAATCAAGAACGAACAACGCGATTTGGGATAGGAACCGCCGTTGTCGTATCCCTAGAAAAAATGTGGTAAACACGGACTCACCTGCCAAACTGGTTTGGATTGAGATTTTTATCGGGTATCAGGGAACCATGTGATTAAAAATTAGACTTGATCAAAACGGGCCAAAACTTGAAATTCAGCCTGTTTGACCGACCCATGCCAAATTCTAATTATTCTTTACTTTTAAACTTTCTATTTGAAAATAAAAAATAGTGAAAGAAAAGAGATGACTGCAATTCTCCATTTGCACATCACTTATTCGGGAATAAAACCATAGAAATTCAAAAGAAACTAAAAATGTTTAGGATCGTTTTAATGTTTAAAATAACCAAATAGATCTTTCTGTTTAGTTTTTTACTAACAAATACCAAACGATTCCCTATAAAATACCCTATAATTTGATCATTATGATATCAAATAATTATATAATATATATTTGAAATGATAAAAATTGGACTAATTGGGTTGGTCGAGGTTGAACCATTGAATAACTTTAAAATACATTATATTTTAGTCACTAAGATATAAAATAATAGCATAATATATATTATGCCAGAGAAAATAGTTTGTTTTAGAATGACAAACCAATGATTTCATTTGTTTTACTTGATGGGCAAATCTCGTGTAGGTCAGACCCATTCAACTCTTTTATTTTATAGTTAGCGGTTAGCCCATTAGATACCATGCATTAGTTTATTGTTAAATTTTTTATTTTTAGCAATAAAAAGGAGTATTGTTTTTGCCTTTTCATATATATTTTATCACCACGGAGAAATAAAAGGGCTTAAAGAAAAAAATTGACACTCCTGGACCTGTTTAAATCCGCATGTGTACGGTAAGTTGGCCCGTTCCATAGAGGAAAGTGAAAAAAATTGGCACTCCCTATTCTACCCTTCCTACAAACGCTCCTGGAGCAGGGAATTTGAAATGGGGAAGGATTTTTTTCCTCCCTGCTATTATATGTTTTTAATTTAAAAAAATACAACAAATGTACTTAGTGTGATTGGTTATGATCTTTGCTTTTCTTTAAAATGGTCATGGTTCGAATCCCAGTACGTGTCTTTTTAATGAATAAAAAAAAGTAATTGTGAAGACCAAAATGCCCTTCCTACTTTCACTCTCGTTGCAGGAAATTTGAAATGGGGCTCCCGTTTTTCCCTTCGGCGTATTATATTATGTGTAGATTACGCAAATAGTCATATTTACTATAGCTTATATGTATGATATGTCCCTCCATTATGCATTTCTATCAAACATGTCTTTCTAGTATTTTTTACATCAAACATACTCTTGTCCTTTACACAAATTATCGAACATGCACTTATGTTAAAATTTCAATCCAAAACCATCGAGTGCGGTCAAATCGTGATTCATATGGTCTAATCTCTGCAAAATTTGAGGGAAAATGTCAATTCTTTCCCTTCATTTTTTCAAATATCACTCTCGTATTACCGAGAAAACAGCCAGATACAAGATTGAACCCCACTATAGAGGGGACAAGGAAGAGCTTTTCTTGCTTCCAAGTGTGCAACCTTGTTACATGTATGACCAAAAAAAATAACCTAAAACTCCTAGAAAAGTCTTTCAAGCTTCTGATATCTTCCGATACCATACCCCAAGGACATATGCTACCTAACCCTCCTGGACCTCTCGGTATCACTTAGGCATCATGTGCAATAGCCATCGAATGCAACCCTCGTGCTGAGCACCATCAGGGCACATCCCGGAAGACCAATAGCTCCACGAGAGACGGTTCTTAAATACCCACGTATAATGATGCTAACGTTGCCACCACCATGTTTGTGGGATCTAGCGGAACCCAACTGCCCGCCCCATGAGAGCCACTAGTTGTAGCCCCATTAACGAACATAACTAACTCTCCTAGTGAAAAACTTCACTGTCCCTGGAAACTGGGTCCACTGAGTAATGGCGAACACTCGGGTCGTTGGGCAAGGCATCCTACTCTGCAACCTGCAATCAAAATTTAGAAAGCAACACTGCAACAATGTATTGAGTAAAATTGAAGAGAACCCAATTCATGGCCTTTCAAACATGCCATAAGAGGGCCACAATTCTCATCAAGGCGCCACGATCGAGTTCCTGGAACTCGAGTAGCATGCGCCAAAAGATGCCAATATTGCTTAGGGGAAAGCGATCCCTAATCCGTATGAGGTTTGCCCCTTCCCACAGCCTAACCACCACTCAACAGCGGAAGAAGAGATGTTCTAGAGATTCCACCTCCTCCCCACAGACTGGACAATGCTCTCCCCCCCCCCCCCCCCCCCAAGAGAACTCAACGGCTCACCAAGTAGCTAAACACCACGAACAAGCTGCCAAGCAAAGTAATGCAACTTGGGGGGTATAAGAGACACCAAAATCCTTTTCCAAAGGCTATGAACTCATACATGTACTTTCCCCTTCACCTTTAGCTCCTTTCGCCTCCTTAACTCCACAGAGCCAAACTTCACAGATAGTTCGTCGTTCCATATCACACAATCAAGCATTGATAAAATTAGCAAAGGAATAGCCAGAATAGCTCAGACCGTATCCTCCTCAAAGATTTTTTATAAGCAGTCCATCCTCCAAACTCCTTGGTTAAGGCAGATTGAAGATGCCACTGTTATATGGACCCACATTATCCACTATCGAGGTCACGGGGATAAGGGATGTAACTCTGGCATCGATTATCAATAAGCACTTTGACATATTATCCCGAGCCAATTTGCCATCCCAGACCTTGTACCAACTGTCGCAACCGCCCCTCGAAATCGTGATGATCGAAGTCGCCATCAACCTTAAAAGTAGTGGGCCGAGCACTAATTTGTTCGGTCTCAACCTTATGGTCCAGACCGGGATTTGGTCTGCGAAATTTTAGAAATTTGGGTTCGGGATTACGGTTACGTGTGGGGAAGTGTATTCACACCCCACAACGCCCAAAATTGGCATTACTTAAATCAATAAGTTTTGAGGGTTGGGTGTTTATTATTTCTGCATTATTGTATAGGATTCATTTAATTTGGTATTTATTAATATATGATTCTGTCATTACGTTTATTAACGTAAATAGCGAAAGGTAAATAATGAGTTTTTAGTTGGACTCGAACCTATTGGTTGCCTACGTACCCGAGTAGTCGGGATCAAAGTCCACGTAGTTCGATTCAATTGAGTGATTTGAAATGTTAACGTTTTCACGTTAAATTGTTGAAAAAATTTGTTAGTTGGACTCGAACCTATTGGTTGCCTACGTACCCGAGTAGTCGGGATCAAAGTCCATGTAGTTTGGTATTTATGACGTGATCTTAATACGTTCTATTGATCGTGATTAAGATAAAAGTTAGAATTTTTATGAAATGTAATTGATGATTAATCTTGTTAATATGAATGAAAAAGTGTTACATAGATTTACCACGCAATAATTCTCTAATTTGCTCTTTGGCTCCGGTTGTGGAGTAACACATGGTCTTGAGGTTTGTCCCATGAAAGCCTCCAAGGGCAACTCCAACTTGGATTTCACCTCGAGTTGTGGAGGGAAAGCTTCTTGATATGGGGAAGCTTCTTGGTATCCCCATGAGCATGGTTGCGCTTCGTGGAAGGGATGTTGGTAGTAGAATCCAGATCCTTGACTTCCCCCTTCTTGATCGTCCCATGAAGTTCCGGGGTAACCACTCTCGGGTGTTGGTGGATACCCCCACACTTGGGCGAAATCATAAGGATCCATGATCCAATACCTACAAACACAAAACACTAAAAAGAAAAATCAAACACACACAAACCACCCTTCAAGACGAAGAGTGGTAAACAAAACACACACGAAACACAAAACATAAACAAAAAGGCAAGATAGAAAATGCTAGAGTAACACTAAGCGACCTTTTCTAGATAACGGACCGTAAGGTCCCTGGCAACGGCGCCAAAAACTTGATATTCTCGGAACTACACTGCGAATTAATCCCGAATAGAGCCCAAGTTTTTAAACTCTAGCCGGGTGCAGTATAGAGCAAGTATTTAAATTGTCAACCCGAGCCGGTCCATGTACCCTACTTCAATCGCGTAAGTTGTTATCTAGCAAAACGGTTTTCAGTTTTCAAACTAAGAAAACTACAAACTAAACAAGCAAAATAAAGTAAATAAAGGAAAATTCTAAATAAGGGAGCTTCACCCAGGGGTTGCTTCCCCCTAACTAGCTACCAAGATTCGTTGGATTGAATGGAGTCATGTGGTGTAAGTGGTTGTGAACCGCGAGGGTGAGCAACTAGTGATCGATTTGTCACGGAATCAATTCACTAGCGATCGATTTGTCACGGGATCGATCCACTCACGACGTCTTGGGGAACCGCTAGGAGGAGCAACTAGTGATCCATTTGTCACAGGATGGATTCACTAGAGATTGAATTGTCGCGAAATCGATCCTCTCGCTCAGTCTCTAGGGGTTGCCTAGGTCTCTCCCTCAAACCGGAGTTTGAGCGGCTTAATCACAACCAACCTAGATGCAAACTTGAGTCAAGGGGGATGGTCATCTCTAACCTAGATAGTAGGCACAATGTGCCCAGGAAAACCAAACTTGTCAAGCCTACTTAAAAATGTGTGGTTTTCCTCTAATCTAGGTTAGGCAAGCACACAAGATTTGGAAAGCACAACTAAGCACAATCATCATGAAAGCACCTCTAATACTCAAATTGATGCAAACTCATACAAAATCATTCAATCTAAACAAGTAATTACAAAGTATTAGTTAGGGATTTGCAACACCCAAGAGAAAAGAGTGAGTTTCTAGAGAGAGAATAGAGGGATTACAAATTTGAGCTCAAGATCTTCTTCTTCTTCTAGGCTTGAATCCTTGTCTCCACCCAAGCCTCCAATAATGCTCCAAGATCACTCTAGCACTCTCTCTCTCTCTCTCTCTCTCTCTCTCTCTCTCTCTCTCTATATATATATATATATATATATATATATATATATATATATATATATATATATCACTAGATTTCCCCTTTGGTGTGTTTGAGCAAACCCTAGAGATGGGATTGAATTTCTCTCCCAAAAACCAGCTCCCCTTTCTCTCTCCCCGCTGTTGTCTTCATATTTGCCCGAAAGTGACCAGTTCACGACCGCGTTGGCCAGTTCACGGTCGTGAACACCTAAATGCGTCCATGAACTCAGTGTCGTCCAAAACGCACCGCTTCACTCTCTTGGGTTCACGGTCAATGGTCCCAGTTCACGGTCTTAGAGACCGTGAACTCCCTTGGCATCAGTAACCTCTGAAGCCTCGCTGGACTGCTCGATGTTCACGGTTTGTGGTCCATGTTCACGGTCTTAGGAGATTGTGAACTGCCTTGTCCAACCGTGAACTGCGGCTATTTCCTGGACGCCTTCACTTCATTATTACGGGGCAATTGTCACGGTCTTCTGACTTTTCTTCGTTTTTTGCGCTTTTTGACCTCCAATTATCCCAAAACTCGTCCTCGACCCTTCCACACATGCTAGGACCTGAAATGTATCAAAACAAGCACAACCTAGCGTGAAATATGTCGAGGAAGGATGAAATACTAAGCTAAACAAATAAAAAATGAGGGGTAAATTGTGTACATTTGAGTTCGAATCATACACCAAAATATAAGTCAGAGATCGAGATTAGTTCCCAAATTTTTTTTTTACATTAATCGTCCTATTTGATTCATGATTTACCGTACTTGTTGGGTTAGTTAGACCATCTCCAACAATCACCCTAAAAAGCCAAAAAAGCTAAAAGACTTCCTCCAACAATCAATGGGAAAATCCAAATAGCCAAAAAAGCCAAAATTTTCGGCTAAAAAGCCATTGGAAGAAGACAAAAAAAGCTAGAATTGTGGTGGGAGTTGGGCCCTCCTTTCTTCCAGCTAGGCAACGCGCGCAGGAACCCGGAGCCAATCGGTGGCGCGCGTTTAGCGCAAAAATCCCCCCTGCGTGTGGCCCAACTTTATTCCCGTTAGAATAAAAAAAAAAAAATCAGTCATTAATGAAATCATATTTAACAATACTTTTTTTATGTCAAAATTTAACAAAATTTTATCGAAAAGTTCGTCTTAATTAATTATTACTAACTGTATATAAATAATCTACAAACTATCTAATTAAAGTGACGAAATCTACACTAAACTAGATTATCACAAAAGAAGAAGATTTGACATTCTAGCATTTTAGCTTTGCTTGTTGGAGCAAAACCACTTTTTGAATGCCAAAATGCCAAATTTTGTTAGCTTTCTAGCATTTTGGCATTTGATTGTTGGAGATGGTCTTACAGGCCAGTCCTTTGCCTATTTCCCTTTCGGAGGGCACCCTCAATGGGCCTGCGTAGCAGCACACGCCCATTCTAATGCGCATAACTTAGGGATCCATTGGGCCAACTGAGATCCGGGACGAGAGGGGGCAAGCACGTCATTTTAGCTCCACAGGCCACTAGGGTTTTGAGTTCCATTTATGTTATAAACCTAAATCGATACTCTGGCCACATTTTCGCCGCTTCTTCCAATCTCTCTGCATCCTTCGACTGGTAATTTCTCGCACTCCGTCTTGCTTCTCGATTTCTCCTTTCTCCTGCATGTCCGCGTCGTTATAGGTTCTATCTCGCTTTTCTTGGGTTGTTTTTATTTATTCCCCCCTTTGACGTGACGGCTGGATGGATTTGGTTGCAGACCGAGAGAGAGAGCCAAGATGGTTGAGAAGACGAGGATCAGGAAAGAGGAGGTGGTGACCAGGGAGTTCACCATCAACCTCCACAAGAGGTTGCATGGCTGGTGAGTTCTGTTTTCTTGTTCCCTGCAACTTTCATTTTCTTGGGTATCTGGAAGTTTTGGGATTTGCGGTTTTATTCAGCGGGATGCTATCTTAACAGTAGGGTTTTGTTAGAGTTTCTGTATGGGCTTTGTAGCTTCAGGGATATTAATTCAGGACCCCGATGATTCGGTTTAGAGTTAATTTTAGCTGAATAATAGTGTTAATCCTCCAATCTCCACCTGGTGGCTGTTGGATTATCATTATCCAAATCGTATTAATCCAGTTTCTATGGTGACGATGGTAGGAGTCATGAGTTTTATGCTATGATCAAAGATTTACTTTTCTGGGATGATGATGAACTGTGAGAATGGGACTGAGAGTTGTGAAGACGCAGATAAGGGTTTTATCAAACCTTGATGATCACTGATCTAAGCATGTTCCTTGTCAATTTGCTATACAAAGTATTAGGAGTGTCTCATTGCGGTGGCCTATGTCCATATTAGGTTTTTGGAGTAAGGTCGAGCTGGTGATTAGCTTGAATGTGCCCTTGGCAATATCAAGGTCCTGCACTATTGTTAAGATTTGTGGTTTCCCTCTGTCCTTGAGTATCAGAGGTTAACTTTGTGCAATCTATAGCTGGTTTTTAATGGCCCTCCTTGCTTGATCCTTTCATTATGTAGCCTCATGTTTGCCTGTCTCTGATGTTTCCTAGTTTGTAAATTTCAATCCAATCTATCATGTCTATGGTAGACTCATGTGCTCACTTTTGTGTTACCTGCTTTCATTGGACTTTCTTGAACCAACATTTTCAATTTGAAGACCTTTGGTGGGTCTGCTCAATTTCACTTATACTGAACTCTTGAAATTTATATTTACCAGCACCTTCAAGAAGAAGGCTCCCAAGGCCATTAAGGAGATCAGGAAGTTTGCCGAGAAAGCCATGGGAACAAAGGATGTGAGGGTGGACGTGAAGCTGAACAAGCAAATCTGGAGCAAGGGAATAAGGAGTGTTCCAAGAAGAATCAGAGTTCGCATTGCACGGAAGAGGAATGATGATGAAGATGCAAAGGAGGAGCTCTTTTCCCTTGTCACTGTTGCAGAGATCCCTGCCGAAGGACTCAAGGGGCTGGGCACAAAGGTCATAGAGGAGGATGAGTAATCTGTGTCGCTCTGTGTTTCTGTCAGGCTGTGGTTCTAGGTTTTTGAAGAAGTTTTGTCCTTGTTTGAGGATTCGGAGAACAAGCCTAGGCTTTTGTTGGTACAAGTTGGATATTGTCAAACCATAATTGCCATTTGAAAGTAGTGAACCTAATGATATTTTCTGTTGGATTTCTAGCACATAATGGCCATCGGGAGTGCAATCTGCAGAAAATGTCGCGCATGTTAATGATCTGGTTGAAGTGCTTGTATTACTGTAGTTGGTATCATCGTATTGATGGTATAGGGAGCTCTTGTCGATGGTTCTTAATTCGATCCAAACCTTTGAGACAACACAGACACAGTTTCTTGTCCACTTTCTATAACAGCCACTATAATGGCCCAGTCGAGCATGGAAAAAATTAATTATATTGTCCATATATTAAAAAATTATATCAAATCTCTTCTAACAAATTATATCAAATCTCATCTAGCATATACGAAAAAAGTAATTATATTGTCCATACATTAACAAATTATATCAATCTCATCAAACAAATTATATCAAATCTCATTTAAATATACGGAAAAATTAATTATATTGTCCATACATTAATAAATTATATCAAATCTCATCTAACAAATTATATCAAATCTCATCTAGCATATACGGTATAATAATATATAACACTACAAAATAATAGTTCGTACTTAATTCCAACTTACAGTAAAATTCAAACACACTTAAATTCACCATATAAATTCGTGATTAACACTTTGAATGAATTAGAGAAACTTGAGGAAAATAGATAGAACTCGTTATTAGATGAGTTCGAACTCATCGGTTGTGCTTTTACACCAAATTATTGAAATCCCAATATTACAACACGCTTATATTGACAGTCGAACATTGAAATTTAAAATGATTTATACAAAAGCATCAAATCCTAATTACACTATGGAACAAAAAGGGGTTTGACCCTAACTAAGCAAACTGCAGGAAGGAAGGTTCTTTATCCCATTTTGTCCTTTTTTTTTTTGACAAATCGTAAAGCTTAGATTGCAAATCGGAATAACACGGACGGTTACAAAAAGGAGAAAGCTCCCTGAACCCAGCAAGAGGAAAAGAAACCCACATGTCCAAAAGAACATATTGTGCAGCAGAGAAAAGCCCAAGAGAAAGGGGCACAATACAACCAGAACAGACACGAGGACTCCCATCCAAAGTCCAAATCACAGAAAACAAAACCCCTCTTTGTATCCTCATCAATCCGATAAGCACAAAGCACAACACCAGCTCATCCAATACAGCATTGACCATGGAGATTGAGCAAAGCAACCCCAAAAGCCGCCTCCTGGGAGTTGTTCAAAGACGACCCATCATAGTGAATCTCCGATTCGGGATTACGCGGCGGTGGACAGGACTGTGACCGGATTGCTCAAAGCATGATGCGGCCGCCACAGCAATCAGAAAAGACACCCACTTCAGTCAACCGACACCTTAGGGGATGACGATGGAGAGGGAGAAGGTGAATGCAATCACCCGAGAGATGACTACACCAAACATTTGGAGAAAAGCATCAAACATTTGGATTTGTCCTTGTGAAAGCAACAAAAATGGCATTGTGGAATGAAAGTTCGTTGACCAGTTTTGTTGGGTTAAAGCTGGTTTTGATCGAGTTCTGACAAGATTGAAGTCAATTTTGACCGGGTTGAAGCGTGCTTGACGAATTCACGCAAAGTCCAAAACAGATGTTCAGTGCCCTTTTCCCATCGGGTCCGGGGTCAACCCAAAGGCCGACCTTGGATTAACAACTTCAGTGCCAACATCTTATGTATTAACATCATGCTAACAATAATTAACATGGATATTTTAGTTTGTAACACTGCTACTGTTGTTATTCTTCTCACATTATCTCCTTGCGGATCCTCCAACAGGCACTGCAAGATGGCGAGTATGCATCAATTACTCCCATCTTGCCAAGTAACTCCAACAACCTGTACTTTCATGGTAAATACAGTTCTCGACTATGTGAATTGGTGAGAGGTATGAAGATGATGAAATTTGATTAATACTTGTTTTGATTCTCTCCTTAACAATGCAGTCAAAATCGCATTTTAAAACTTAAAAATTTACGCTTTTACGCTTCTAGCTTACCAAAACTTTTCAAAGCAAAATCGTAGTTTTTATAACTAATGTAGTTAAAACACGCTTAAAAGTTTAAAAACTTACGGTTTTAACCTTCTAGATCACCAAAACGCTTCTACGTAGAAACACTCTTTTGACTACATTACTCCTTAGTGACATGCATATCAATCTCGATATGCTTAGTTTTTTCATGAAAAATAGGGTTCACGGCTATGTGAATTGTGGACCTATTATCACTATAAATTGTAATGGGAAAAGTGACATGTACTCCAATTTTGATTACATCCGTTTCAACCAATTAATTTCACACACCAGATAAGCTAGAGCTTGATAATTTGCTTCTATTGAAGACCTTGAAATGATCGTATGTTCTTGCTCTTCCATGTAAGTAATGAGCTTCCACATCAACCTCTCAAATCTTTCTATAGCTCCGCTTTGACGATTATCGTTGTCACTTACATACTGTTTGGTATAAATGAATTCCATAAGTTTTGAGAAATTTATTTTGAAATGAAATATTTTTGTATTTGGTATTAAAAAGAGTTCATTTTCAATTCTAAATTTTGAATTCTACGGAATTGGAACTAGTTATAGTAATTCCGAGGAATTGAGATGGGATTTCCAAATGAATTCCACAAGTATTTACTAATTATAATAAAATGACATGATTAACCTCTTTTATTAACCAAATTACTTATACATATGACATACCAAACACAAGAATTCATTTGACAATGAATTCTACACGACACTTCATTTTATTTCTAAAGATTTGAATATAACATACCAAACATAGGATTTCATTTGACAATGAATTCTACATGGTAATTCATTTTACAATGAAATGAATTCTCAATTCATTTGATACCAAACATTTGACAATGAATTCTACACGACACTTCATTTTATTTCTAAAGATTTGAATATAACATACCAAACATAGGATTTCATTTGACAATGAATTCTACATGGTAATTCATTTTACAATGAAATGAATTCTCAATTCATTTGATACCAAACGGTCCGTTAGACTTCTTAGACCATCTCCAAGGTTGGAGTGAGAGAGTGGAAACTAATACCCATTTTCCCTCCAACTAATCAAGAAAGGGTTATTAATGGTAGAAAAAGGGATGGAGAATTAATACCCCAACCCATTTTTCCCAAGTACCCAAGCCGATCAAAGAGAGACGAGCGGGTACAATGTGTGTATTTAATTATTTTTATGTTTGCTTTAAAATTTTGTTTGTTCGTTGTGATAAAGGTTGTCAACACGCGGGTCGACCCGGACCTGGACGAGCTAGTGGGTCAAGGGTTAACGGGTCACTCATTTTAGCTCGGATTAGCCCAAAAATATGAAAAGAGTCATTATATTGTACTTATCCTGAATCCAACATAGAAAAAATAAAAGCATCAAAGTCGTCACACTTCTACAATTTCCAAGCGCTGCACTCAAAGGAGGGCCCCAGAACGCATGAAAGTGAGGGAAGAGGTATTTTATGTGAAACAACATAATGCTACCAAACGATCTTGCGCCAGACCATATATGCTTTTGCGCCATAACAATCTCACTCGAATTACGGGGACCTACGCATATTAGTACAGTATACCGGGGTCCCCGGCCAGCGTTCTTAGGCCGACACATAGTATCCCAATCCACCAAATGCAGCTTCTTGCCTGCTTCGGAACTATCCCACACAAATGCACGAATCTTCCGGTCAATGTAGTCTCTGACACTCGCTGGCAGGAAAGTTGTTTGCATAATGAACGATGGCAACGTTGCGAGCACAGACTGAGCTAGGGACCATTTGTTTCGGAGACAGAAGATAAACCGTCAATGAATTTGATTAGTCATTCCAACCATTGATTGGAATTTATATCGTGATAAACCGTGATTTGAGCCTTGGATGATTTTTGCTTACAGCCGCATTCGCAGCATATAATATACGAAATATAGAAGAAATTCTAAGGTGTGGACCCTTGTCTTGACTTGCTTGATTAGTGATAGGTATGACCTAAAAGGGAGCTCTAATTTCTTGGGAAGGGGAAATGGCTTCTTTACCCTCTTCTTTCATTCCATTATTCATCATAGCCTCGTCGATATTCCTTTCGCAACTCCTTCTTCACAGGAGCTTTGCTTTCCCCAAGCCTGATTTACAAGCCCCTGTCGAGTCTCTCCTTCACACCGTTCCGAAATCAAGTGAATTGTGGTCCAACGTATCCCAAGTCCATCAGCTCCGAGTCATGGATACAGTCTTTCAAGTCCCTGGCTCGATTTGAATCAAAGGGTGCCCCTCCCGCCTTTTTCAGATGGGTGTAAGATAGAATTGAAGTCGCCGTCTCGTCTCTTGACAAGTCCTGACCCCCTATAAACAGATCGAAAGCTTACGATTCACTCCGGTGCTGCTTGCTGGTGGAGGTTGGGAAACACTACTTAAACTCCAACACACTTAAATAACATCAACTAAAATTCAACATAATAAAAATTCAACAAAAATTAAATCCATCACATAATATATGAAAAAATAACATATATAAATTATTATATTAAAAATCATTATACTACTCATACATATATAAATTATATCAAATATATATGAAAAAATAACATATAACATTACATCAAAATAATAGTTAGTACTTAAATAAATATATAATAATTTTTTTAATACATTTAAGTTAACCATATGACACCAATATTCGAAATTATAACTTGAAATAACTAATTGGCTTATATATACGAGCAAAATAAAACGATTAATTAATTAAACATGACAAGAAGAAGGGAGGTTGGAATTTGGAAACCCACTGCATTTTATTATGAAGGCAAAATTAATTAATCCTTGAAAGTTGAAATAATCAAAGCCACGGATGGGATGAGACTGTACGTGGCACCGGTATGAGCCTGAATAATTTATGGGCCATGCCGGATCTAAACTTTATGGGCACGGGCACGATATGATATATAAGTGGGTCGTGTTGGGTCTAATATTTTTGAGACTTTATTGAGTATAAAAACGGACATGGCACGAAAATATATTTATTTGATAGAAAATAAGTATAAAAAGAATTATAGGTTCAAATATTACAAAACACAAGTAGAAAAATAATTATTTGTTGTTGTTAGAAGTGTCGTAAAGATATATACGTAATTACAAACATAAGTAAAAATGGACAAAAAATTAAACAAAGCCAAATCACACTCGCTATACTTCCAATTTTCTTTTCC